TAGACCGATGAGTCATGAGACACACACGACACACACACTTGAACGTTTGCACGTTTGCGCACCAACAGGTTCCCACACAGGTCAACCGCACGCACCCCGTGGTGCCACAAAGGTTTAGTGCCCAACAGCAGCGTAACCCTCACGTGAAGACTGTGATGGGTGACCGATAACTACACTGCTGTACTGCTGTTGTAGGTGCTGTTGGAAACCGGAGGAGAGAGAGGAGAGGGCGCCGTATTTCTTTACCCCAAACACGATTATCACATGATGATGGCATACATGGATACAGCAGCAGCAGTAGACATACATCGCATGCACAGCAGTTCTACATGTCACGCTACCCCGCCGCCGATGCAGCACACTGGCGCAAGGCATGTGGCACCGCCTCCAATGCCACTTGGTTGGGTGGGAAATCCTTTGGAGACAAGAAGCACACACGCACGTACGGTTTGTTGGGATGCATGCATGCGAAACGAAATGAAAAAGCGGCAGCAGCAGCAGCAGCAGCCCGCGGCAGCAGCAGCAGCAGCAAGCACGAGCCGCGCGAGAGATAGACTATGCCTTGTGGTGGCAGTTGGTTGAAGACGGACAAGGAAAACACTCGAACGCACACTCGCGCAGGAGAACTCGGGGAGAGGCCTCGTAAGCTTGGCCTTCAGTTCTGCAACCACATTCCGAAGGCAAGGAAGAGGGCACACAACTCAACAGCGAGAGCATGATTTTTCGTACCAGATAAAGACAGGTTTTATCATGCATGCTATCGTCCCTGAAGTCACGAAAACCCTCTCAAAAACGCGAAGGCACGGGGGCGGGTGTCTCTGTTTGACACTTTGTCACTCCTGCCACAGCCTGCCAGCACCACAGCAGTACAGTACCAACATCACCACCATGGACCCAGAGGAAATTGCTCAGTTCTGGGAGGTCAAAACGGCCTCATGATCGCGTTTCTGCGTGCTGGACTGAGGTCCACAGCAGCACAGCAGCAGCGCGGGATGCAGGGTGCTGCGGAGCATTGCAACTCCCAGGCTTTCAATTTTCTGTATAGGGGACGTGCTTTTGCTGTCCCCGGTCGTTACTTTGTTTCTTTTCGAGCGGTCTAGTCGTACCGTCGAGCGGTCGTCGATGCAGGTATCCACAGCTCAATTCGGTTCGAAAACTGTCGCACATAAGAGTTATCGTGCATGCTAACATGCACGATTGGGGGGTGTAGTCACGAAAGGGTTAAGCGCTGAGTGAGGGTTCTCGACCCCGCACAACATAACTACTCGACCAACATCCATGGTTACCCCCTCCAAAAAAAAGCCGAAGTTAAAAACAAGCAGTAGCCTGGTTGCCGTGCTCACAAACCCGATCGGCTTGTTTGATAGCATCGCTGCCAAGCGACGAAAACCTGACCCCGATGCAAACACCGAGAGGGGCGGCTTGTTTTACAACGTCGTTGCCGAGCGACGAAAACCCAACCCCGATGGCAAACACCGGGGGGGGCGGCTCGTTTTACGAAGTCGTTGCCAAGCGACTAAAACCCAACCCCGATGGTAAAAACCGGGGGGGAGGTGGGGGGGGGCAACGAAATTCAAAGCAGTCCCGTGGCGCGCCGGAAGGGGAGTGAGGAGGAGCCTCGTGGCACGTCGAAAGGGGCGCAGGGGGGGAGGCAACATGAATCGTGGTGCAAAAACGGGAAATACTTTCCTGGCGAGGCTACAGGCAGGACGAGCGCTGGGCGGGGAGCAGCATGCATCACCGTGCTGAAATTGGCACTTTTTAGTTGACGGTATTTGGTCTTTGATGGTTTTCTTAGCGAAGTTGGAATTTCTGGTGGTTGTCATGAGTGCATTTTGGTTGAAGACCCAGGGAGGGTACCCCATGTTTGTAGAAGACGTTCGCGTCCACATGCTCACAATAGTCATTCGGCTGAGACCATTGATTGCGGCTGCAACGTTGGTGCGGTTCTTCAAGTTTGTGAGATGTGCAAGAATATTGGACGTAGTCTAGTTGGAATCGCTGAAGGAACATATGAGGAAAAATTTGGACATCAGTCTTGTACTTCCTCGAAAGTGGAGGATTGCCGAAAAAAACGTGCAGGTAATGTTTCGCTCAGCAAAGTTAGATGATTGCCTCGTGTCCTGGCACGCTGTGGTTCGCTAGCGAGGGGGGGGCGATGTCGATGTTTGCCTGATATTTGTTTGGAAAACAGACAGCAGCAGTGCAGCCTCTTGGTATTCGTTTGGACCATCTCCTCAGGATAGTTTCATGCTACTGCTTGCCAAGAACTGGGATAGGCTGTTGTTAGAAACAGGGTTGCTATGGTCTGCTTCATTCAGGAAGAATATGTCGCACTCCGCCCACGTTAGCATATTTCGAGCGTGGACTCTGGCGCGACTGGTTTCATGCATGTCTTCGTCTTGCTCTATTGTAGCAGCGCGGCCTGGACAGTTTCTGATTGAACGGTGAATGATTGTGGGGGGGCTTGATCGGGAGGCTGGGGGTCCCCCTGTCTAGGGTTCGGGTTGGCTATTTTGTTGTTTGGCTTTTGGTCACACCCGTCGAGTACATGCCCACTAAGTGGTTAGTTGTTGGCGTAAAGAGGGTGTTCGTGTGTGCATGAACGGATGAGGATATTCCAAAGGGACAACTTAGCTAGGCAGATAGGAACTGGTAGTAGCCTTGGGTTGGGTCTAAGGTTGATCTACGGGGCTCGGGTCTCCGGGAGTGCTGCGTTATGGCACTCTCTCTCCCGCCGCCTTGTCTCAAGAGTCTCTATCTCGTTGCTGTCCTTCATGCAAGTAATACAAGCATTCGACGCACACAAGGACATACGAACAATGTTTTTGAGGCAGGTCGGTGTTTCATGTTTGCAGGCACGGGTGTACCGTGCATTTCGGTCTTCGAAGAGGATCATGGAGCGATCCAAATAATTGCAAACACCCAGATCACAACATTCCAACTCGAAGCACATCGATGTAAGGCATCACGTACTTCATCATAATGCTGGCAGCTGGGAAGGAGATCGTGATCACTCATGTTACGCCGGGATATCAGCTGCGGATTTCGTGACGAAAGCGAGAAGTAAGGAGTCTTGAGCAGCGATTCGGTTAGTCCTTCCGTCAGTGAGAAGAGAAGGGTTTTTTGGTTAAGTCATCTTTTTCATTGCAAAGGGATGAGTGAGTGCCTTGGGAGTATTATGGAGTACGGTTGTAGTGGAAATTCATGGAGGTTCGTTGTTGTGTCATCCGTGACTGAGCCAGTGTGGCTGGCTTTTTTTCGTTTGTTTCCACACCGACACGTGGCTCTTGAAAGACAAATGGTCTAACACCTTTCATGGGTGCACACAATCAATCGCGAAGGTACGCACACACGAGGGTACGTCCGTGTGCTTGCCATCTTACTGCAGACTAAAGTATCGGAACTATCGTCATGTTGACCAACGTTGTTGCAGGGTAGCTAGGTTTTCATGGATATGTCGCCCCAATGTCCTGAGACGATTAGGTAGGCGATCAACGCCTGAGGTGGCTACTGCCCTCTTTCTTGTACACGGGTGGGTTGCATGGTGGGCGCGTGCACGGGTGGTTTGTCTATGATACGGATGACGGCAGCAGCAGCAGGGTTAACGGCGCACATCCAAGTCTGGAAATGTAACACACAGTTTTCGAGGTAAGCCTTGTTGTGGTTGCGCCTGTATCAGTTTGAATCTTACAGTGCATGGGATTTGATTTATCTGGGTTCCTTTGGTCGCTCTTGGGGTACTGTACTCAGGAATTGCCTCAGGCTTGGTTGGCCGTACGCCGGCCGTGCTGCTTTTTTTTTTGCAGGGTGGCCCAGCACGGTGGCAGCAGGCCTCACTTAGTCCCAACCTACAGCATTACACCACACGTCGTCGATAACTATTGTACAAGAGCCACACGAGTGCATGTGCCTATCATCAGCGGTACAGAGGGAGCTTCACAGCTCCACGGCCTATGCATGTGTTTCTTGTTCAGGTCGTTTAAAAGTGTAGAATCAAAGGCATCTACAAAACCAAGGGGGTGTACCTCATTCTCTCCGGCCCGTGATGGTAACCCCTAGCCTCAGTTGTTACCTCGCATAGGGCGCAGAGGGAGTGGAGGACTCCAGAATATTATCTGTCGTTGATTTATATTGACTTGCGGACCCCTCGGGGCCATTTTATTTGAGTGTACCTTTTTAGGGTAAGTTAGCCTGCGACCACGGGAGTCGATCGCGTCGAGTGTTGTATCAGTACGGACATACGAAGGTACTGGGTAGAGAAAGATGATCGGAACCGTTTTTAATGTGAAGAAAACAACAACAGTATACGTCGGGCGGCAGGCCAGGGGGGTAGACAGTACTTTACTGCTGTGTAGTTCGCCAAAGTTTTTACCAGGTACCGTTGTCTGCAACAGTCTGGCTATTGCTGCACCTGTTGAATCTGCGCCTTCGCATGTTGACCACAAACAGCCGACAACCATCGTCTGGCGACGGATACTGTGTTGTACTTGTACGATGGACCAAGGAAAGGTGGACTGATGTGGTCTCCTCTGTGTATCGTTACTTAAGCGCATGGTACGCAGGTGAAAAAAATTCTCTGATCGATGCAGGTAGCCAAACGCGCGTAATAGTCTAGACTATAGTCTTAGATTACTCTGGGCGGATCGTGTTTACGGCCGACGCCACTTATTTATCGGGTGAGACTGTTTTGGTGATGTATTAACTTCACGAGAGGTCGACGACCGTCCTTCACACGGACGAAAGAGGGAGTGCTCAAAGAGCAGCTCCCACAGCAAGGAGGCGCCCCGTGAATCATCGCGGTGCCCCCTATCAAACGGTTATCTTACCAGTCTGCGTGACTGAAAATCATCCAGCACATGTATCCAACAACAATGTTTTGCAGACCCACGAACACCCTCCCTGGTTCTTCACGCAAGTGACTAACCATCAATTGGGCAAGAACGCCCCTGGATACATCAAAAAATACCAACATGGTAATATATGGAGGGGAAACCCGGCGTCCGGGCAAAACCCCTCAAGGAAAAACCCTACCACCACAAAAAACCCGTAGCTATCACAGCGGATCACAACGGCCGCACTTATTAGAAACGCCAAGGCGAAGACAAGAACGCGAGGAACTATGTTCCCCCGGACGATGGTCTCCCAACGCCCCCTACTCCTGCCATTGGTACACAGATCGCAACAGTTATGCGCCTTTCCCCGCATGGAAAACATGGCCACTCCCGAGTGCTAGAAACTGCTACAGCTACTCCGGCAAATTCATCAGCTTGCGCCGGTGGTACAGCAGACTGGCCCTGCTAAGGGCCTTGGTGAGGAGGTCCGCGTGTTGCTCCGTTGTCGGAACAAACTTGACCGAAGTATCCCCCGACCTAAACAATCCGCGGATGAAATGAAACCTCACGTCGATGTGTTTCGTGCGACCTGAGCTGAGGGGGTTCTGCACCAACGCCATGGCCCCCTGGTTGTCCTCAAGGACCTGGATGCTGCTACCACTGGTCTTGGGGCGACAAACGAAAGCACAGCACGCACAAACAACGCCTCCTTGACGCCCTCCCCGGCAGCAATGTACTCGGCCTCCGTCGAAGACAAAGACACGATGCTCTGCGTCTTGCTACCATGGCTGACTACGGTACCTCCGACCGTCGTGGCCAACCCTGACACCGAACGCCTATCCTCCGTGTCGGCGTAATTGGCGTCTACGTACACGGCAAGCTAACCCCGATCCCCGTTGGTAGGTGATGCCAAGGTCCCTCGTCCCTTTCAGGTAGCCGAGGATCTTCTGTATGGCATCCCAGTGCCGCTTCGCCGGGGCGTGGGCGTGGCGCGCTACCGCACGCACGGCGAACGAGACGTCTGGACGCGAAAAAGCCGACACCNCCGCACGCACGGCGAACGAGACGTCTGGACGCGAGAAAGTCGACACCCACATCATGCTGCCGATGGCCTCCCTCACCGGCCACTCCCCTCCCTTCTCATCCTCTCGCTTCGGCCCTAGATCGGCACCAGGGGTAGCGGGGATGCGGGAAGTTGATTTGACATCGAAGCGTTTAAACATGCTGTCGATATACGTGGTTTGGGAGATTCTAAGAGTCCCAGCATCT